GCGGACACACTTTGGCTCCCTGGTGAGAGTCCGACATTGTCAAGTGTGGGTATACTTTCAGAGCAGAATCGAACTTTGGGGGAGTTGCAAGCTGTAAGCTCTGATAGCCTAGCGGAATGTGTCGGCGCATTGAGTTTACACTTCTTGCGGAAATTCGGGCGCAGTGCGTTGACATAAACTGCAAGTTCTTGGGTGTGTGTACAGTGCGTTGACATAAACTGCAGGTTCTTGCGTGTGTGTATGGGGAGTTCAAGGGGGATGGGGGACCCACTCCCCATGTGGGGGCCTCCCCCCGCCGGGGTGACCCTAAATCCGGAAAATGTCAGGCCAAGTTCCTCCCCCCAAGGGCAGGTTGTAAACAAAACCTCCCGCAAGCCCCAAGGAGCTAGCTTCGCGACTAATCGTAACCTGCGACCGTTGACGGCAGGCTTCCTTAGCAATCTTGACGTGCTTCTGTTTTGAAGCAAGGGGTGAGGCGTCTCATTGATTTCATGTGCTGCGGCCACGGGAAGCTTTTCAGTGGTTCACAAACCATTACTCCTAAGCTGCTGAGCAGGGCTTGAGTAGGCTGGGCTAAGGGGAGCTTCTGCCCACACACGCTACGATATCACTATACCACGAAGCCCGGAGCACTAGAAAGAACCTTCCCGTCTACATTTCAGTGCCACTCCTCTCTGGACGGATCTCGACCTCAGCTGCAGGGAGTATCGAAGCAGCACGAGGCACTGAAAAGGAAGCTGAGGAAAGTGCAGGAGCACCCTTTCTTGGGGCTGGTGCTTTTTTATTTTTCTGGAGGGTTTGTGGGTTCAGCGCTACCCCTTTTCCGAGGTTCCTACAATGAGGGTTATTGGGGGCATATACGGGCTTCCCCATTTTGGGGAAATACCCATTCGCCGGCGAAAGAGGCTTGTGTCGGACCTGACAAGTAAAACTGTAAAACACTCATTTTCAAAACCGCAAAAAAACGTAAAGCTTCCCTGAACATAGAAAAATCAGTAGAATGGCATCAGAATACTACAATATAAAAGCATTGTAATGCAATAGCAATACGTAGAAGCACAATATAATCGTATAATAATATGATTCGTTCTACTCTCACAATATACTGTCAGGGTACAATAACCAAAATAACAGTTTATAGCTTAATATTGAAGCAAGAATGATAATCATCGTACTAATGAACGAGCAACAAAAACACAGCAATGTAAACATCCAAAATTATAGCAATATAAAGGCATATAAAAACCGTAATGTTCACACAAAAACAAAAATTATTTTACTTCGAACATCCCCACCCTCTCTTGGCAGAGATACTCTGGGGTTGGGCACTCCAGGGTGGGGCTAAAATAATACTGTAGTAACGCAAAATAATAATGCAATCATGGAATACTTCTACACTGTCATAATACTACTTTAATAAGAAAGTAACACAAAGCAGAACAACATACAACGATCAGCAAACGCAACATGATGAGAACCAAGAGTAATGCAACAGTATAATACTAGTACAATCATCGAGGAATATCAGAACAAAATACTATAAAACTTAACACTTTTTGTATATATACATACACACATAGACGTATATGTCTTTGTTTTCATGATAACGGCATAAATAGTTTAAATAGTTGTAAAATATTTAGTGCACTTACTATGAAACGACTAATGTATTTTATAGACAGTTCTTTTCAATCAGTACAAGAATACAACCATAGCCGTATAAACATATAATCGCTCAAGACAACAACAAATACAATCAAACAAAATGTGATGCACAACATACAAATAGGAACAACAAAACATAAAATGCTAATTGTAAAACATCATAATAAGATACACAATATAACAAGAAACTTGCGTACACGAATAAAACATATATGAATATGACATGTTAGCCGTATGCCCTCACGCACAAGCTATCAGACTCGGAGCTCATGGAAAGGGGACCCCTTCCGGCCCAAACTAAGGAGTCACATGCCCACCCTCAAGAAAGAACCCTAAACCCTAAACCCTAAACCCACCCTCAAGAAAGAACCCTAACATGGACTTCTTGAGACAACTGGCTGAGAGAAGGCATTCGCCTCAATGCATGTGCGTAGCCCGGAAGGGAGCGCAGTTCAGCTGTTCATCTGTGGAATATGTGCGAAGGATCAGAGCCAACTATACAGCACGCACTGAGGCTGGACTGCACCGAAAGATGGCAAGGGAGACTGCTGCAGGTGCGTTTGCATCCTTGACTGGGAGGCGGCGACAACAAGTGCTTCTGCTCAGGCCTTTTCGTGCAGACCTTCAACCCTAAACCCGAAAATTTGAACTCCTAAACTCCTGAACTCCTAAACCCTGCTCAAGGCAGCAATCTTACAACCCTTATCTGCTATCTGCTTAAGAACCCTGCCCTCCCCCTCCCCCCACCCCAAAAAAAGGTAATTGTCCCTATATTGCCCTTATAAGCAAGAATCTTCTTCTTAGTTTGGGTTACGCAAATAGTAGTGACATATCATACGGCCCCTCCATCAAAACTATCCCCAATACGGGGTTGTTTGACTGAAGGTTCCTTGTTCCCATAGACCCCATGCAGAACGTCATGTGTCCCTTCGTATGGGCCCTTCGATGGGGATACCCCTTGCATACGCTCTACAACCAAAGGGCCCTTACTTCAGGACCTTTTTGAAGAAGGCCAGGGACGATCTTTGAAGAAGGCCAGGGACCATGCGAAGGGCCCCATGCAAGTACCCTTAGATACGGGCCCATCCCAGGCACTAAGCTCGAAACTCGGTTTGGGGTTTAGGGTTTAGGGTTTGGGGTTTGGGGTTTAGGGTCCCCAAATGCCCTGAAACAATAATTTCACCCAGGCCTCACGCCCGCGTCGTTTGCGCCCGCCATCCTCGACAAAGTGTGCGAGTTGCTTCATGTCCCCAATACGTCCCAAATACTAGGATTAGGATTCCAAACTTAGGGCTTAGGGTTTAGGGTTTACGGTTTAGGGTGTTGGTTTTAGGGTTGAGGGTGTAGGGTTTAGCGTTTAGGGCTCAGGATTCCGGGCTTAAGAATACTTGCTCCCGGGAGAGCTTGGGGATGAGGTGTGTTTAAGCTAACTTTCCGGACTTGGTCAGTTTATTGCGCATTGATTTGGGAGCAGCTGATCCAGAACTCCGAAAATGGAAGAGAAACGCCACACCACTGCCGAAACCTCCTACTGAAAACATCAGCCAGAAGTCGCGAAGCTGGACGTCGCTTTAAATATTCTATTCTATCTTCGATCACCGATCGCCAAAGGTCTGTTCAACCTCTGTAGATCCTGGGCTCAGCTTTCAACACTATAACCCGAAACCCATCACCTTCAACTCACGGTCGGAAAGAACTCAACCAACAGGCTGGGCAGCAGCGTTTCTTGAGCAGATCCGCTCTGGAGTGTCCACATCTTCCGGATATGAGAGAATCACCGCTTAAACTGTGTGCCTGCGCGCCCTCAAGAACCTGACGCCCGTCGCTGCAAACATCTCTATAGAAAGACTCTTTTGCTTAAGACTGGTCCCCGAGCTGAACCCATGCCCAAAACACGGGTCTGCCCTGCGAAGGGATCACATTGGCAGGTCTCTACAGTAATTAAACTCCAGATAGTTGGAACATGGTTTAAGGATGATTAGAGCTGAGACTCCCTTCAGTTTACCTTTTGGGGTATGGGGAGAAGGATGTTCCAACTTTTTGGAGCTTACCGTAAGGGCGGAAGCGCAACGGAAAAAGCACGGCTGGATGTTTGTTTTTTTCAAAGGGACACCAGCCGCGAGGACTTAGCTACTCCTTGATGCAGACGGCCCCCCTGTCAGGGAATTCTACATCGGGATGCCTTGGATTTGCCGAGTTTACCGGCATTAATAAAATCTACTGCCCAGCGTGCACACGATTGCACATCATCGCTGTGACTGCTACGTCTCGCCCTCTGCGCATCCTAGGCAGTATCAGTACTGACCGAACCGTTGTGCTCTGGCCTGCGCTGGGCAAGGGTTTGCGCACATGGCCGGGTGTCCAGATGCTGCCTTGTCCATGATGTGGCTGGACGCCAGCTTTAAACACTGTTTAAACACGAAGCGCTCGAAACAGCAGAACCTCTAGCGGTCCTCCATCTGCAGCTACACTAAGGCCCTCAACCATGAACCGTTCAACTCAGAGCCCAGGGAAACGTGACGGCTAGACCGCGTGCGCCACACATAGTTGCGACTCTTAGTCGCAACGCCAGAAACTCTCAAATCCACTCAGCGCGTCATGGCCTTGTATGTTGAACTAAGGCTCCGAGGCGTGCTAAGTGACTGAGGTCTCTTCGCCATGCAGCGACATTGGGTCCAGCACGTGACGTGTTTGGAGGGCGAGGAGGTGCAGACTCGTGTGCTCTAGAATAGAAAACACCCATCAACAATACATACCTACAATGCATTGCATTCATTGTATTCCCGTAGATCTTCAGCAGATATCTCAGCCAAAGAAAAGGATGTTGGTGCACTTCTTGAGTTGTGCGTGTCAGTCCAATGCACAGATGGGCCTGCTAATCTTCTCCAGTATCGTTCCCAATACCAGACCAGCGAGGGCAACTCCCAGCCATGCAAGAACGAATCGGACTTTTCTCAATGTCGCAACAACAAGCTGAGAGAGAAAGCAGTGCTCATGAATGCGAAGCTTCTACTTGCATTATGCTGTACATGTCTGCATGTTTGAATGTTCGTCCCAAGGGGCCTTCTTTCCCGTAGCCACCCCTGAGCCCGAACAAGCATCCGTATCAAAGATTCACCCTTGGGGTAGAAAGATGGCAAAGGGGAGGGGGTGTCCTTTAACACTCCTCCTTGGTACTACCGCAAGGGCCGTACCACTGTACCTGACACACCCGACCTAAACCACTAAGCCAGGCCGGTGCCCACACGACAACGAAACGAACGAGGAAAGAAGAAATGACACAGAAAGTCCGAAGGCGAGAGGGATATGGTGGAGATCAACCAAAGGAGCCTATCCTATGGATTACCCAACCCTACCCTATGAAGACAGGTTCGGCAGAAAGTGCGAGTCTGCCGGTAGGCTGGAACGCCCAGCGATGAACAGTCATCGTACAGGTGAACAACTCCACCTCGCTGCATGGTGGTCATGATTGATCCGGTGGGAATGCCTCGGTTTAAGGCAGACAAAGGAATTGCCAGGTCACCGGAGTGCACGGTTTGCACCTCCTGGTCCACAAGAGTTGGAGGTCGAACATGAGAGCCCTTCGAGGGCCCGGGATTCACGGCACTCATGGGATTGACCATCGTCGGAACACGCTCGGAGAGATGCGGTGAAGCCTGATGACTGCTCCGAGCGCTACTGGCTGGGGCAGCCCTTGACTTGGAAAATGGGAGGGAGGTGCTCGACGGAGGTTGAGAGTCCGAAGATATCGGTTGAACAACCGGCCCGAAAGTTAAAGCAGGAACTTCGGCTGAACGGCCTGCTGAAGAAGAGAGCTGGGACGAAGGGGCAGATTGCTCCAAGGTAGAGGCTGACTCGCTCTCAGGAGACGCTGGAGCCCCGGAAGAGGTTTGGGCTGCGCCTCGATGGCGAAGACCTTGGATCTCCCGAGCCACAGCCTCCTGCACTTTCTCTTCAATTTTCTTGCTCTTTCGGGTCTGGTGTCGAACAGCTTTGGCTTGCGCGGTAAGAGGCTGTGGTCGACTGCATCGATGCACCCCTTCCCAGCAGCATAGGGCAACTAGCAACACAATCAACAGTCCAAGGTAGGTGGCCAGTGTGAAATCCACTCGGATTCCTAAGGGGACTCCTTCCGCCGCCTCCTCCTCAACCCCGGGTGCAACGGTGAGTGCCCTTTCCCCAGCACATGAGGTAGCCTGGCAAAACGTCACTAGCCCAGTCAACCATCTTGACACGCTGGCAAGCACAGAAGGAGAAGCCACAGAACGGGGACTTGACAAATCCCTGGCGACATCCGCTGAGGCAATTTGCGGACTCGGGGCTTCATCTGCAAAAGTATCTTCATCCACAGTGTCCTCTCCCAGGTCCGGACCGGGGTTCTCAGAGCGGAGCTTTAACAGCTGTTTCAAGAAACACAACCGAGGTGAAGGGAGAATCTTTGTGAAAGCGTCAGCTAACTGCTCCTTCCCCGGTTGGTGCTCAACCGCGACCTCGCCAGATTCGATCAACTCCGACACGTATGCGGCTCTGACACGAAGGTGACGGGTTCTATTGGCTCCCCGCCCATGAAGGAGGTGGATTGCCGAGGTGTTGTCCACCCGCAGTGCAACCTGCTTACAGGTGGTTCCCAACTCCTGGAGGAGGGGCATGAGACTCTGGGCCTGAACGACTCCTTCGGTTGCAGACACCAGCTCTGCTTCCGAGGAGGATAAGACCACGAAAGCCTGCTTATTTGCCCGCCACGAAACGAGACAGCCCTGAACCACTATAGCTAAGCCCGAAACCGACCGACCGCCATATGGCGAGAACGATGCGTCGGTGTAGCACACGAGTGGTGGCTCTCCACGGGAACTCTGGCGTTCAAAATGCAAGCACTCCTCCTTAGTCGTGGCCACATATGAAAGCACACGGAGGGCCAACTTTATCACCTCCTGCGCGTTGCGATGCACCCATGATGCAAGCAGAGATACTGAAAAACTGACATCAGGACGAGAACGCTGGGAGATCCATAAGAGTTCTCCCAGCACTTTTTGCGCTTGCTTCAAGGATTCTGGCGAGGAGGGCACCACGTCTGGCTCCTCCTGAATTCGTGGCAGAGGTGTCCTCACAGGGTGGCCGACATCGTAAGCAGACAGGAGTTGCTCGATGTAAGGCCGTTGGTGCACACGATAACCTTGAGGAAGCCTTTCAATCTCCATTCCCAAGAACTTCAAACTATCTCCTGGCTGCTCGCAACCTTCAAGTTCTGACGAGGCCCACCCAAACTCTGAGGAAAGGTGCGAACGGAATCCAGAGGCCATTGCGCGGTTACCAAGGATCAAGAAGTCATCAACGTATGTGACAACTATGCCACAGGTGGCACCCTTGTCATCTTTGACAGTCCACATGGAATCGCACGAAGTGGCTTCAAGGTGATAGTTGTCCCACGCTGCGGTACGGAGACAACTATCCCGGTAGGTTGACCACCACTTTGGACTCTCCCGGAGTCCGTAGACTGCCCGGTTGACTTCCCACAGTTCCGTGGGGGAGGCCAACCCTAATGACACATGCTCCCGGGTTGGTCGGAGAAGTATGGTTCGCTGCTCTGGCTTTGGCGCCAGCAGGAACGCCTGGGAGATGTCTGTTGTAAAGGCATCCCAACCGTTGTTTGCTGCCAAGCTCAAAGCTAACCGGACATACTCAGCTCTGGCACCGGAGGCGTAAGTGTTCACTTCACTGGTGACCTCGCTTTGATTTCCACAGGCCACGGTCCTGACTTTTCGCCTGTACATCTTGTTGCTGTTGGGCTTGGGTGGCTTGACGGTCCACACATTCAGGCTGCTCAAGACTTCAGCATCCGGACGCTTCAAAAGCTGTCGTGCTTCCTCTCCGTCTCGGCGAGTCAAACAACCTGAAGCCAACTGACCATTCAGTTCTTCCTCCATCGATTCCTTCCATTTTTCCAAGTGCTGCCTGGCCTCCTTTGGAGAAGCTGTGTGAGTGATCTCCAACTTGCGCCCATTGGCGTCGAGGTCCGCCAGATGAGCTTCTATGTTTTCGATGACCGCGGGCTCAACTGACTTAAGCTGGGAAGGTCCGGAAGTGATCCTAGGACTTGGATCAGCTCGAGTGGCTGAAAGGCGTGGAAGCCAAGCAGGACAAGCCTGGGCAGCTGGGATTACCTCACCCTTCTTCTCAGAAATCGCCTGGAGGTTTGGGAGACTGGCATTTGAGCCCGTGGAAGGTTCAGAGATGGTAGTCGTGTTGGAGGCCGGAGGGCCTTCAGCCGGGCTTCTCAAGGACGTGGATATGGCAGGAGTGACAGCTGCAGGCAGACCTGCTTCACCTGGCACGCCTGGGACATGCTCCAAGGGTCCGACGCCCTGAGCTGCGACCGGGGAGAATGCACCTGTTGGTAGACCTAGAGCACCTGGCACGCCTGGGACATGCTCCAAGGGTCTGATGCCCTGAGCTGCGACCGAGGGAGATGCGGTTGGCACGCCACTAGCTGGCACCTGATCGTCTTGAACCTTTGGACCTGGCACAAGCGGAGGAGACACCACAGCGGCTTGTGGTATCCTGCCCCTGGTGGCATCTGGCACCCGAAAACCTAGGGCTTGCAGTCGGTCTCGTTCGACGTCGACCGAGAAGCCATTAGGGGTGTAACCGACTACAACCCACTCCGGGGTACGAACCACAGCATGGGGTGTCTTGGGGTTAAACTGGAGTCCTGGCTTTAGGGGCGTTAGGTATCCTGGCGCGGTTGCTTGGCGAGGAGCCAACTGACCGGCGGGAACTGAAGAGGAGTTCAATGCCTCTTCTGTCCATAGGTTGGTAATACCCGGTATCACAAGCCCAAAGTTTGAGCCTTCATTGTGAAAGTCCCTATGCACAGGCACCTCAGGGTTGGCGAAAAGACCCACAGAAACCCAACGGAAATCTGGTACGCCTTTGGCCCGCGCTTTTCCAAGCAGGAATTGGTTGAGCACCTGAAGCACTTGAGGCAACCCATTGGTGGCCTTGGTAATGCCCGAGAAGGGCCCTCGACGAAACCCGCCCAGGTACCAATGGCCGCTGGAGTGTCCGCGTCGCTTCATGTCTGCAGCTGGTTCCTGGACCAAGTGCTGCAGCATCCGAGATACTGCTTGAGGAGTGATGTTTCCAGAGCGCAGTAGCTTTGAAGCTTGCTCTTCAGCCATCAACTCCTGCTCAGCCACCTTGGCGACATACGTTTTTTCCCGGAGACGATGTGGGGGAACAGGCATGACAACTGGCTTTGGGTCCTCAGCCACAAGGGGTTCAAGGAGCTCATCGTCAACGTCAACCAAACCTGCTCGTACGGATCTGCTGGTAATGACGGCCCCGGTGGAATCCTTAAGGATGTGATGCCCCTCTGCCGAGATCATTGAACGACCCAAGTAGCGGCCCCACTCCCAGGTGGAAAACACCTTCTTTGCTTCATTAGTCATAGCCTTCGCCCTGAACAGCACTTGCCTTCCGAAGGTGAGCTGAGGTGGCCGGCGGTCCAACAGACCATCAAGGTGATCTTGTGAGGCGAACTGGGCGGCGTAAGGCCAGAATTGCACAGGGACCTTCCCGGCCGTGAGATGGAGTCTCATTCGAGCTTTGAACCATGACACTAGCCGTTCAGCCAAGCCATTCGATTTGGCGTCAGCCCCCTGGGTGTTGCTGGGAACTATGCAATTTTGTCGCAACCAGCTTTGGATCTCCTCTGACTGTCCTTCTTTGTCGCTGTGACAGATTTTGATCGGTATTCCCAACCTGTTGGTCTCAGTCACCACATACTGTATTGCCGACAGAAGAGACTTGGATTGCCTGTTGCGCAGAGGAACCGCAAACCTGAGGAGCACTTGGTCAACAGGATGCCGGAGGGAAGCGACCATTTTATCGATTTCATCATCTGACATGGAAGGCCCTTCATCCAGCACGGACTCAACCTTAGGCGCAGGTGCTTCAATAGGCGGGAGATGCTCTGGCAGGCTCTCCTCCTCCTCAACAGCTGGTGGCTCAAGCTCGGAGAACAGGATGTCTGGATCGATTTCCCCTCCTTCAGTAGGGGAGTAATCGGAGTTCCAGTCAAGCTCACCTTGCTGGGGCGACTGCGCGGGTGCAGCTACTTGTCCTGGGGTTGATGACTGCAAGGTCGGAGACCCCGGATCAGGTTTGTTAGCAGAAGGACCGGGCGCTGAGGTGGCTGCATCTCGGAACAGGCAGGTTGGCACACGAACCCCTGCTACGAACAGGTACCGGAAACCTGAGTGTTTGCCAGTCTTGCCAACTTCACGAAACGGCCCGCTGATGTCCCAAGACATTGAGAAGCTATCCTTGAAGCGAACGCGACGATGTTGAATTCCTAGACCTGCGCCCATGGTGCAGGCGAGGCAATCTCGTCTGTAGGGGAGATGGCCAGCGGTGATATGGCGTCGCCATGAGGCCCTTTCTTTCGGCGACATTGCGACCTTGCTCTTGTCTTTTTCGGAAAGGTCATTGGGATCCGGCTCGGCAGCTCTGAGATCTTGCATTGACATCGGAAGTGAAAGGTTTTTTGGGTCTTCTGGAGGCTCCCCTGGAACATCCTGACCAACATCCTTGTCGATCAACGCCTCTAGATCCCTCAGGAACTCTTCCCCAAAAGAGTCAAGATCGCCTGGCTGAGCACCAGAGCCAGCTTCCTCGATCCCGATTGCTTCGACGTCAGGCACAGGGCCTGGAGTGGAAGCATCAGGTAGCGCAGAGGCCGCTGCAAGGTACGGAAGGCTGGGCCCCTCGCCGCATAAGGCTCGCTGAATTTCGGTTTCTAGGCAGGCCGTGCCTTGCAGATCATGCAGCACTCGAGAGTCCACATGCCGAAGGTCAAGGTTAGTGGCGGCAACACGGGTCTCAGAGAACTGAACAGTCCAAGCTTGTCCCCAACGGGCGAACTCACGGGTCCGCTGATCCTGGTGGGCAACACCCTCAACCAGAAAGGGAAGACAAACCCCTTGAAAAACCGAAGCTACAGCCCAGAACCACCTTGACCACAGCTCCTGTGACTCAGATAGAGGGACTGGTGATGCACCCCCCCAGCACATGGAGCCTGCGAAACGACCGGTAGCACACGCCCAAAGCAGCACCGGAATCAGCTCAGCTTTGCCAACAAGCTCGGAAGCCTCCAGGACACAGTAACCCCGGTGTGCAATGGCATCGGACAAGGAGCGACTGACCTTGGGGCCGAAGTTCACCCACCACTGGTTCTTGAACAGACGCTTGCGAAGACGGCGGGTGTATGGAAGGTCCTTTAGCAGTCGCCATCCATCGGCGTCCCCTGAGCTCACAGCCTGGGCAAGTTCCAACACCTGTGCTTGCTCGAAGCCTCGGAGAGCTGGGCAGACGAGGAGCGCCGCGGTTGCTCTGGAGATTGAACCCTCCCGAACATACTCCACGAGAGCTTGGGAAGAGGACCCACCTGCATTGGCCTGGATTGCCCCTATCGTTCGGGCCACTGTGCTCTGAAACTCCGAGGTTTGTTGATCCTCCAGCTCACGGATGAGCTCCTGGGCCATAGTTTCAGGAAGCTCGGGGCATCCTTTGGCCGAAAGGAAAGTTTGTAGTGGCCCCCGCTTGGGGTGGTTCAACCGTAAGCCCTTACGCCTACACCAACTCACCTTACAACCCAACCGTCCCACAAGTTGACCGAGCGGTAGCAGCGTTTGTGGTCGTGAGCCCTCGGTTGAAGGAGGATTGAGGGTACCGCAGGCATTCTTTCGCCATACCTGGACCTGATCGCCCGCGAGAGCAACTTCACAAGGAAAGGTAGGGCCATTGCATGTGGCCGACACAGCATGGGTCGCCCCACTATCCAGGAGAGCTCTATCTGACACCTCGGCCGTCTGATGGTCCAACGATGCAACCTCGGCGACAACCTTTGCCTGGGCTTGCGAGCCCTGCGCAAGCTGATTCTGCAAAGATGCCAGCTGTTCCTGCAGGGCATCCAACGAAAGGACAGGAGTCCCAGCGATGGGCACCGCCTGTGCTTGCGCAGCCCCCGCCTGCGTGGGAAGAGTAGTGTCCCTGGCGGGAGGTGGAGCCTTCGGAGTGCTTCCAAGAGCTTCTAGCAACTTTGCAGCTCCTGTCACAAGGCCTTGCACCTGCTGGGCATCCGGAAGGTTACCTTTTGGCTTAGGTGGGTTGGGAGGCTTCTTAGCGGGTGACGGGGCTGAGGAACTATCACCTGGCTTATCCCTCTTAGGCCTGGCGCAGCCATCCGCCCTGTGGCCTTCTCCGCCACAGTTGATGCAGAGGTTTGCCCGCCGATCCTTAGGGATGCTGGCCCAATTGTGCGGGCGACGGCACTTGCCCCCATATCTGCAACCTTGACCACCGCGAAGAAAGGCACGGCAATCCTCCGAAGACGCCGGGACCTCGTCACCGGCCCCACCTTTAGGTACGGCAACCGCCTTTGGCTCCGGTTTGGGTTTGTCTTTGGAGGGATCAAGCTTCGGGGGCTTCTGGGGCGCTGAGGTGCCAGGGGTGTCTATAGCCTGAGCTTTGCACGCATCCCCGGACTTCAGGCGGCTCACCACCTCAAGCTCACTCAACAGATGCTGATGCAGCTGGTCCACCTTGGCTGACGTAGGCAGCACATCAACCTGAAGGCTCGCCCTCGTGAGAGAAATTCGGAACTGGATCTCCGGGAAATCTTGCAGGGGCTTGGCGGTGATGGTGTTCAAGGCCTTGAGGAGGATGCTGGGGTCTGGTAGCGTTCCACCCAGCGACACGAATCTGCTGCACCACCGACGCCAAGACCGAAGCTCAGCGACCGCTTCTTTGGGACTTTTGGCAGCTTGAGGGTTTGTCAAACGACGAAGGCCTTCTTCTCGCTCCTGCAAGGAACCGGGGCCGAAGATAACGTACAGCCGACACATGACAGGGAAAATGCCAGCGATGCGGGCTGCGGATATTTCTTCCTTCACCTCGCTGGGCGAGGCCTCGAGGATCATGGACTCCATTCGAGTGCGAGTCCTGTTCCATTTGGAAGACATCAAGGCAGGTGAGGGATCGGTGCGAAGGGAGAGCCTGCTGAGGGGATCCGTTGCCAAGTAAAGGGCATACCACGCCTCTGTCTCCTGCTTCAGGCACGACCACAACTCTTCACTAGAGTCTGACAGGTCAGCCATTGCTGGCCCTATGGCGTGTAACCAGTCCGCAAATGTCAAAGCCGAGGTTGCATCGTTGGACCATCAGACGGCCGAGGTGTCATAACCTCTGAATCGACCTTATACCTGGTCAATATAATGTGCCCACCCCTTGCCCGCCCCAACACTCACAAGTAGAGTGTGCGGTGGGGTAAGGACGCACGCCGGCAAGGCGCCTTAAGGGCTGCAGCTCACTACGCACTCCCCCCACTCCAACACGCAGGGATGGAGTGCTTCCCCGCTGCAGCTCCCCCCAACCTGTCGACTAGGCCGTCGGGCTTGAGCCACCGCACCGACTGTTAGGCGCCCAGCCATCCCTGTTAATAGCACGCTGCTGTAGCTGCCACGCCTCTTGCGCCGCCCACAGCCCTAGCATGCCCCGTGCCGCCCAAGACCAGCAACCACCAAGCAACCTAAGTGACACCACCCATGGCCAAGCCGCCCCAGAGTCCAGACCACCCCCATAGCATCTCGTGCCTTTGGTCCAGGCAGCCCCCCAATTCCCGGCAACCCCCAAGAATGCTCCATCACCAGGCCCTGCAGCTGCAAGCTTCTTGAGTCCCGGCCACCTTCCACGAAGTCACGCAGCAAGCGTGAGTTTGGGCTCATAACCCGTAGATCTTCAGCAGATATCTCAGCCAAAGAAAAGGATGTTGGTGCACTTCTTGAGTTGTGCGTGTCAGTCCAATGCACAGATGGGCCTGCTAATCTTCTCCAGTATCGTTCCCAATACCAGACCAGCGAGGGCAACTCCCAGCCATGCAAGAACGAATCGGACTTTTCTCAATGTCGCAACAACAAGCTGAGAGAGAAAGCAGTGCTCATGAATGCGAAGCTTCTACTTGCATTATGCTGTACATGTCTGCATGTTTGAATGTTCGTCCCAAGGGGCCTTCTTTCCCGTAGCCACCCCTGAGCCCGAACAAGCATCCGTATCAAAGATTCACCCTTGGGGTAGAAAGATGGCAAAGGGGAGGGGGTGTCCTTTAACAATTCCTCATGTTTCAGCACAGACTGTTACATGCCGGGAGCGGGTCGGGGGCCCTGCCACCAGCGATCTGATAAGATCCGACAGGGGCGGTGCCCACGTCACGGGCCGAAGACATGAAGGCCATGAAGGCTCGCTTGGGCTTGACTCAAAAATTGTATCATCTGCCCTCGGCCTTGCACCTCTGCGGGGGCCACCTGGGCAGAGGGGAAGAAGCACAATCACACGATCATGGGATTTCGGAGGGTCGGGAGCTCATACCGTGTTGGCCCTGCGCACCTCCACTCGCTTGGTGCTCCTGCGGCCAGGGAAGCAGTAGCCCGAAATGGCATCCTCGAAGCGTGCGGCAGTACCCAACTCGGTGAAGTTGAGAAACGCGTAGCCCATGCCCTGCCTCAGTTGAGCTACTTGCTGGCAGCGGGCCATCTTCATTGAGGACTGCGGACAAAGTGACTAACGGAATCCTCATAGCTGTTCAGTCAGCAAGAGCCTACCAAAAACCGTAGGTTGGGTCCTACATTGTAAAGGGCTTGTCCTACAGAGAAAGCCGTGCGCCAATCATCGAAGATGCTGGTGGCGCCGGTTCATTGGAAGGTGGAAGCAGTCGTACGTCCCGGCGAAACCTACGGAATCCACAGCATGGAGAATTTCGTCGGTTCTGCATCGGCATGGGATGTTCTTGATCATGACTGTGCGGACCGATGTGAGATCCTCCTTCTGGTGCTCCGAAACTGCCGCGTCTTGCAAGCCCGCCAGGCTCTGCAGATCCTCTGGGCAGCCTGTCGTCTGCCTTTCGAAGTCGACATCGGAGTCGCCGTACTCCGTGCTCACGGTGCGTTCGCAGGGCGTGTGGCAAATCAGCTTTCCATTGTCGCTGTCATCGCCAGTCGCCTCTTCGCATGCCACGCGCGGCGGAGCACTGTGGGCACGGCGCCGGGCCCCGTCCGCATCCTTGCTGCGGACGTCCACCTTTGCAGTTGCCCGCTAGCTCCAATGCTTGCAACCAGGCGCGAAACCGAAACTTATGACCACTGTCTCTGAACAACATTGAACAACCACCAAGGCACGTCCAGGAAGCCGTTCCGAGTTGTGAGCTCCGCTGTGCCATCATAGAAGGAGAGCCGCGGCATGGGAAGCATGTCAGCACTGGGCGGAGTTCTCAGCCACTCCGGCCTTGAGCAAAAAAAGGCTCGCCATGCAATGGCTGCAATGCCCGGCGCTGGGGCAAAGGAAATGTCACTTGTATCCCTGCTGTTCTCAAGAAGCTCCAACTTGCCTTAGGTCTCGCCATTTCCAAAGACGTAGGTAATCTGGTAGCTGCTCGTAAATGGACAGGTTTACCACGCAGGCTTCGGGCTTGGGGCCTTGGGCGATCCAGTAGGGTTTACTTCGGGTCTAGCGAAAGACGCACAAGGGGCGGCTGACCTAAAAACATCTCCGAACATGGAGCAGAAAAAGCCACACCGCGGCATCCGCGGCCGAAATCGCCCATAGTAAAAACGTCAGCCAACAGTCGCTACGGCGAATGACTTCGATCGCAAAAAAATGCTCGACCCTTCGGCCCGAAACCCTAAAAAACACTTAAAACCGAAACCCCTCAACTGAAGCCCAATAGGCCGGGCAAAGCGTTTCTTGAGCGGAACCGCTCTGAAGTGTCCCTAGCTGCCTGACATATGAAATTGCACCGCTTAAATAAAGCGGATGTGAGGTTGCAAAGACTCGGCTGCAAGCATTTGCTTGCCTGTGTGACGCTGTGCATGCCTGCGCGTTGCTGACCCTCAGGAGCCTGAAGCCCGTCGCTATACATCTTTATAGAAAGACTGAAATAGACTCTTTTGATTAGTTAAGACTGGTCAGAAGTTGAACCCGTGCCAAGAACAAGGGTCGGCCGCGCACGGAGCGGAAAGGCAGGTCTCTAACCGGAAGCGCACCTTAAAAAGCAAGGCTGGATGTGAGTTGTCAGAAAGACACCAGCCGCGAGGACTTCAAACTACGCCGCAGGGAATTCTACATCGGAAAGGGGATGCCCTGTGTGATTTGGAAAGTTGACTTAACTTCATGCGGCAAGGAAACCTGTACTGCCCAGGGTGCACAGGATTGCACATCATCGCTGCTACGTCTCGTCCACTGCGCGCAGTAAAATGATATATCAGCATTGAAAAAGTTGTGCAGTGGCCTGCAATGGGCGAGGGTTCGCGCGCATGGAAGAGACACCCCCAAGTATGCCTGTACTACTTTAGGTCGTAGATTTTTTGGGGTGGTCCTTGAAGGGGAGGTTTTGGGGACGCGATGAGCCTATAGGGTCCTAAACCGAATAGGAGGCGACTTAAGCCGAACCGGGCGTCGCGCGAACCTAACCCGAGATGCTGACGTTCCCAAGTGGACGGACTCCAGCTTAACAAAAGGGGCTCGAATCTTGAACCTCCCCTGTATGCACTATACAAGTAGGTGGAGTAACGGGCAAAGGCCTCCTTCTGCAGCGACGCTAAAACCCTTTGCCTTTTCATTTTTCATCGAGGCCTCGAGTGCGAAACACTCCGCTAAAATCCCTAAACTCTCGGCCTCAGCCCGGAAGGAGCGCAGAAGTCCAGCAGACCGTCATGCACGGACGTGACGGCTAGACTGCGTGTGCCACACATAGTTGCGACTTTAGTCGCAACGCCAGAAACTCTCAAATCCACTCAGGCAGCGCGTGATGGGCTTGTATCATGAACTAAGGTTCCGAGGCGTGCTAAGTGACTGAGGCCTCTTCGCCATGCAGCGACAGTGGGTCCAGCGCGTGACGGACGTGCATGAGGAGATTGTCTCTCACCAGAGTTTAAAGTTGGTAGGGCTGCGAGGTTCACACGCTCGCGTGGTCTACTTGTAGAATAAACATAGCCTAAACAGTACATACCTACCTGGATTATTATAACCATTCTGGCTGGTCATATTGTTTACATTTATTACAAATTTTCAAGGCTGCAGTATTGACTGTTACATGCCGGGAGCGGGTGGGGGCCTCATCTTTCAAGACTCCTCGGAAGCACCCCCTGACATCAGCGATCTGATAAGATCCGACAGGGGCCCGCGGTGCCCAAATCACGGGCCGAAGACATGAAGGCCATGAAGGCTCACTTGGGCTTGACTCAAAAATTGTATCATCTGCCCTAGGCCTTGCACCTCTGCGGGGGCCACCTGGGCAGAGGGGAAGAAGCACAATCGCACGATCATGGGATTTCGGAGGGTCGGGAGCTCATACCAACAGAGCCAACACGGCCCTGCGCACCTCCACTCGCTTGGTGCTCCTGCGGCCAGGGAAGCAGTAGCCCGAAATGGCATCCTTGAAGCGTGCGGCGATACCCAACTCGGTGAAGTTGAGAAACGCGTAGCCCATGCCCTGCCTCAGTTGGCCAAGCTACTTGCTGGCAGCGGGCCATCTTCATGGAGCATTGTTTTTTTTCATTGTGTGGGGTGTTGTAATGGCATGGGTATCCTACGCGGGCCTACGCGTCAGCTCATGTTTAGCAGGCGTGCGGCCTACGCGCGGAGTATGTTGTTGACGAGTTGACGTGTGCCTACGCGGACCTACGCGGCAAGCATAGACAACCTACGCGGACCTACGCGCCCATACTGCATAGACTTGCCTACGCGGACCCTACGCAAACCTACGCCCTGCAGGCAAAATGCTACGCGGCCGACTTTCAATGATCGCGTCTCTACGTAGCCTTGCTCCTAGAAAAAAAACGCTGCTCTTAAATTGAGGACTGCGGACGAAGTGACTAACCGAATCCTCGATCATAGCTGTTCAGTCAGCAAGAGCCTACCACAAAGCGTAGGTTGGGGGATTTTAACAAGGTGAAGGGTTGGTCCTAGAGAGCGAGAAAGCTTGTGCGCCAATCATCGAAGATGCTGGTGGCGCCGGTTCATTGGAAGGTAGAAGCAGTCGTACGTCCCGGCGAAACCTACGGAATCCACAGCATGGAGAATTTCGTCGGTTCTGCATCGGCATGGGATGTTCTTGATCATGACTGTGCGGACCGATGTGAGATCTTGCAAGCCCGCCAGGCTCAGCAGATCCTCTGGGCAGCCTGTCGTCTGCCTTTCGAAGTCGACATCGGAGTCGCCGTACTCCGTGCTCACGGTGCGTTCGCTGGGCGTGTGGCAGATCAGCTTTCCTTCGTCGCTGTCATCGCCAGTCGCCTCTTCGCATGCCACGCGCGGCGGAGCACTGTGGGCACGGCGCCGGGCCCCGTCCGCATCCTTGCTGCGGACGTCCACCTTTGCAGTTGCCCGCTAGCTCCAATGCTTGCAACCAGGCGCGAAACCGAAACTTATGACCACTGTCTCTGAACAACATTGAACAACCACCAAGGCACGTCCAGGAAGCCGTTCCGAGTTGTGAGCTCCGCTGTGCCATCATAGAAGGAGAGCCGCGGCATGGGAAGCACGTCAGCACCGGGCGGAGTCCTCAGCAACTCGCTTCCCTTGAGTAAATGCTGCGACCGGCCTTGAGCAAAAAAAAGGCTCGCGATGCAAAAGCTGCAATGCCCGGCGCTGGGGCAGAGGAAATGTCACTTGTATCCCTGCTGTTCTCAAGAAGCTCCAACTTGCCTTGGGTCTCGCCATTTCCAAAGACGTAGGTAAACTGGTAGCTGCTCGTAAATGGACAGGTTCACAAGGCTTCGGGCTTGGGGCCTTGGGCATCCCCCAATCCATTAGGGTTTCGGCTTCTAGGGTCTAGCGAAATTTGCACAGGGGGCGGCTGACCAAAAATCTCCGAACATGGAGCAGAAAAGCCACACCGCGGCATCCGCGGGCGAAACCGCCCATAGCGAGAAGGTCAGCCAAAAGTCGCTCTGACGAATGACTTCGATCGCAAAAAAAATGCTCAACCCCTAAACCCTAAAAAGGACTTAAAACCGAAACCCCTCAACTGAAGCCCAATTGGCTGGGCAGGAGCGTTTCTTGAGCGGATCCGCTCTGAACTGTCCCTAGCTGCCAGACGTATCACATTCACCGCCTAAGGCAGATGTGAGGTTGTAAAGACTCGGCTGCAGCATTTGCTTGTCTGTGTGACGCTATGCATGCCTGCGCGTTGATGACCCTCAAGAGCCTGAAGCCCGTCGTTATACATCTTTATAGAAAGACTGAAAGACTCTTTTGATTAGTGAAGACTGGTCAGAAGTTGAACCCGTGCCAAGAACAAGGGTCGGCCGCGCAGGGAGCGCAACGGCAGGTCTCTAGCCGGAAGCGCACCTTAAAAAGCAAGGCTGGATGTGAGTTGTCAGAAAGACACCAGCCGCGAGGACCTCAACTACTCCTTGATACAGACCTCTGCGATTTGGATAGTTGAGTTAACTTCATGCGGCACAGAAACCGGTACTGCCCAGGGTGCACAGGATTGCACATTATCGCTGCTACGTCTCGTCCTCTGCGCGTCCCAGGCAGTATCAGTATTGACTGAGGATACTTTACAAAAAAGCTTGAAAGTTGTGCAGTGGCCTGCAATGGGCAAGGGTTCGAGCACATGGCCGAGAAACCCCCCCAAGTATGCCTATACTACTTTAGGTCGGAGTCTTGGGGGTATATGACCCTTGAACGGGAGGTTTTGGGGATGCGATGAGCCAGAGGGTCCTAAACCGCTTAGGAGGCGATTTAGCCGAAGTGGGCCTCGCGCGAACCTAGCCCGAGATGCTGAATTGTTGTTCCCAAGTGGCTTAAACAAAAGACGCTCGAATCTTGAACCTCTACATGTCTCTACAGCTTACCTGGACCCCTGTAAGCAGAATACCTACAAGCAGGTGGAGTAACGGGCAAATTCTGCAGCTACGCTCAAACGAGTCCAAAAACCCTCGGCCTCAGGCCGGAAGGAGCGCAGAAGTCCAGTAGACCGTTATGCACGGACGTGACGGCTAGGCTGCGTGTGCCACACATAGTTGCGACTCAAGTCGCAACGCCAGAAACTCTCAAATCCACTCAGGCAGCGCGTGATGGACTTGTATGTTGAACTAAGGCCCAAGGCGTGCTAAGTGACTGAGGTCTCTTCGCCATGCAGCAACAGTGGGTCCAGCGCGTGACGGACGCGCATGAGGAAATTCTCTCACCAGAGTTTAAAGTTGGTAGTGCTGCGAGGTTCACACACTCGCGTGAGCTACGTCTAGATTAAGAAACAAACATAGCCTAAACAATACATACCTACAATGCATTGTTAACAGCATTCTAGCTGATCGTATTGGTTACATTTGTCCAGGAAGGAGTATTGAGTGTTACACGCCGGGAGCGGGTTGGGGGCCTCGTCTTTCAAGACTCCTCGGAAGCACCCCCTGACGTCAGCGATCTGATAAGATCCGAAAGGGGCCCGGTGCCTACGTCACGGGCCGAAGACATGAAGGCTCACTTGGGTTTGACTCAAAAATTGCATCATCTGCTCTCGGCCTTGCAGCTCTGCGGGGGCCACCTGGGCAGAGGGGAAGAAGTAATCAGAAGTACTCGCATGATCATGGGATTTCGGAGGGTCAGGAACTCATACCAACAGAGCCAACACGGCCCTGCGCACTGCGCACCTCCACGCGCTTGGTGCTCCTGCGGCCAGGGAAGCGGTAGCCCGAAATGGCATCCTTGAAGCATGCGGCGGTACCCAACTCGGTGAAGTTGAGAAACGCGTAGCCCATGCCCTGCCTCAGTTGTCCAAGCTAGTTGCTGGCAGCGGGTCATCTTCATTGAGGACTGCGGACGAAGTGATTAACGGAGTCCTCATAGCTGTTCAGTCAGCAAGAGCCTACCAAAAACCGTAGGTTGGGTCCTACATTGTAAAGGGCTGGTCCTACAGAGAAAGCCCAGTGCGAATCATCGAAGATGCTGGTGGCGCCGGTTCATTGGGAGGTAGAAGCAGTCGTACGTCCCGGCGAAACCTACGGAATCGACAGCATGGAGAATTTCGTCGGTTCTGCATCGGCATGGGATGTTCTTGATCATGACTGTGCGGACCGATGTGAGATCCTCCTTCTGGTGCTCCGAAACTTCCGCGTCTTGCAAGCCCGCCAGGCTCTGCAGATCCTCTGGGCAGCCTGTCGTCTGCCTTTCGAAGTCGACATCGGAGTCGCCGTACTCCGTGCTCACGGTGCGTTCGCTGGGCGTGTGGCAGATCAGCTTTCCTTCGTCGCTGTCATCGCCAGTCGCCTCTTCGCATGCCACGCGCGGCGGAGCACTGTGGGCACGGCGCCGGGCCCCGTCCGCATCCTTGCTGCGGACGTCCACCTTTGCAGTTGCCCGCTAGCTCCAATGCTTGCAACTAGGCACGAAACCGAAACTTATGACCGAGGTCTTGAACAAGAAAAGGCACGTCCAGGAAGCTGTTCCGAGTTGTGAGCTCTGCTGTGCCATCATAGAAGGAGAGCCGCGGCATGGGAAGCATGTCACCGCCGGGCGGAGTTCTCAGCAACTCGCTTGAATAAATGCTGCTACCGGCCTTGAGCAAGAAAAGGCTCGCCATGCAAAAGCTGCAATGCCCAGCGCTGGGGCAAAGGAAATGTCAGTTGTATCCCTGCTGTTCTCAAGAAGCTCCATCGTGCCTTAGGTGTCGCCTTGCCAAAGACCTAGGTTGATTGCCAGCTGCTGGAAATTTCGACCCGAGCGCCCAAATCAATAAGTGAAGTTCTATGACCACTCAGGCTCATGTACCTCCAGAACCTCTGTAACCTGAGAGTTGTTGATCGTCATCACTGTGAGCAATATGTCGACATGGTTTGGGGCTTGAATCGAACCACGAACTGAGATTTGAGGCTGCCTATAGGTATGGTTCAGGCGCAGCCTAGGATCCCAACTCCCATAAGAAGACTGGGCTTTAAGGTGTTAGGATCCTCGGCTTCACCCCAAAAGCTCTACATACACCCTTTGGACCCCAAACTCTGCACCCTAAACCGCCTCAACCCTAAACCCGTTAACACCGACACCCTCAGTTAAAGGCCGGAAAGAAGGATCACTCAACCAGGAGGCCAGTCACCGAGCGTTTCTTGAGCGGAACCGCGCTGAACTGTCCCCAGCTGTCAGAGATATTGAATTGCATCGCTATCACCGCTCAAAGCGGATGTGAGGTAGTAAAGACTCGGCTGCAGCATTTGCTTGTCTGCGTGACGCTATGCATGCCTGCGCTTTGCTGACCCTCAAGAGCCTGAAGCCCGTCGCTATACATCTCTATAGAAAGACTCCTTTGGTTAGTTAAGACTCAGCCTGGTCACAAGTTGAACCCGCGCCAAAAACAAGGGTCGGCCGCGCAGGGAGCGGAAAGGCAGGTCTCTAACCGGAAGCGCAACTTAAAAAGCAAGGCTGGATGTCAATGTGAGCTTTCAAAGAGACACCAGCCGCGAGGACCTCAACCACTCCTTGATACAGACGGCCCCCTGTCAGGGAATTCTACATCGGAAAGGGGATGCCCTGTGTGACTTGAAAGTTGAGTTAACTTCATGTGGCATGGAAACCTGTACTGCCCAGGGTGCACAGGATTGCACATCATCGCGGCTACGTCTCGTCCTCTGCGCATCCCAGGCAGTATGAGTATCAGTATTGACTGAGGGTACTGTACAAAAAAGCTTGAAAGTTGAATTGTGCAGTGGCCTGCAATGGGCAAGGATTCGTCAACATGGAAGAGAAACCCGCAAGTTTGCCTATACATGCCTGGACTGCTTTAGGTCATAGATTATTGGGGGGGTAGCCCTGGAAGGGAAGGTTGTGGGGACGCGATTATCCTAGAGTCCTAAACCGCTCAGGAAGCGATTTAGCCGAACTGGGCCTCACGCGAACCTAGCCCGAGATGCTGAATTGTCGTTCCCAAGTGGCTGGACTCCAGCTTGAAAAAAAGCGCTCGAATCTTGAACCTCTACAGTCTCTACATGTCTGTACAGCTTACGTAGACCCTGAAAGCACTATACAAGCAGGTAGGAGTAACGGGCAAAGGCCTCCTTCTGCAGCTACGCTGAAACCATCTAAAACCCTTCGCCTTTACATCGAGCCCTAAACTCTCAGCCTCAGCCCGGAAGAAGCACGGAAGTCCAGTAGACCGTTCTGCACGGACGTGACGGCTAGACTGCGTGTGCCACACATAGTTGCGACTCAAGTCGCAACTCCAGAAACTCTCAAATCCACTCAGGCAGCGCGTGATGGACTTGTATGTTGAACTAAGGCCCACGGCGTGCTAAGTGACTGAGGTCTCTTCGCCATGCAGCACCAGCGGGTCCAGCGCGTCACGGGCGCGCATGAGGATAGTCTCTCACCAGAGTTTAAAGTTGGTAGGGCTGCGAGGTTCACACACTCACGTGCTCTACGTGTAGATTAAGAAACAATCATACCCTAAACAATGCATACCTACAATGCATTGTTAACAGCATTCTAGCTGATCGTATATTGTTTACATTTCGTCCAGGAAGGAGTATTGACTGTTACACGCCGGGAGCGGGTCGGGAGCCTCGTCTTTCAAGACTCCTCGGAAGCCCCTGACATCAGCGATCTGATAAGATCCGAAAGGGGCCCGGTGCCTACGTCACGGGCCGAAGACATGAAGGCTCACTTGGGTTTGACTCAAAAATTGCATCATCTGCTCTCGGCCTTGCAGCTCTGCGGGGGCCACCTGGGCAGAGGGGAAGAAGTAATCAGAAGTAATCGCATGATCATGGGATTTCGGAGGGTCGGGAACTCATACCAACAGAGCCAACACGGCCCTGCGCACTGCGCACCTCCACGCGCTTGGTGCTCCTGCGGCCAGGGAAGCGGTAGCCCGAAATGGCATCCTTGAAGCGTGCGGCGGTACCCAACTCGGTGAAGTTGAGAAACGCGTAGCCCATGCCCTGCCTCAGTTGTCCAAGCTACTTGCTGGCAGCGGGTCACCTTGATTGAGGACTGCGGACGAAGTGACTAATTATCGGAGTCCTCATAGCTGTTCAGTTACCAAAAACCGGAGGTTGGGTCCTACACTGTAAAGGGCTGGTCCTACAGAGAAAGCCCAGTGCGAATCATCGAAGATGCTGGTGGCGCCGATTCATTGGGAGGTAGAAGCAGTCGTACGTCCCGGCGAAACCTACGGAATCGACAGCATGGAGAATTTCGTCGGTTCTGCATCGGCATGGGATGTTCTTGATCATGACTGTGCGGACCGATGTGAGATCCTCCTTCCGGTGCTCCGAAACTGCCGCGTCTTGCGAGCCCGCCAGGCTCTGCAGATCCTCTGGGCAGCCTGTCGTCTGCCTTTCGAAGTCGACATCGGAGTCGCCGTACTCCGTGCTCACGGTGCGTTCGCTGGGCGTGTGGCAGATCAGCTTTCCTTCGTCGCTGTCATCGCCAGTCGCCTCTTCGCATGCCCGGCGCGGCGGAGCACTGTGGGCACGGCGCCGGGCCCCGTCCACATCCTTGCTGCGGACGTCCACCTTTGCAGCTGCCCGCTAGCTCCAATGCTTGCAACTAGGCACGAAACCGAAACTTATGACCACGGTCTCTGAACAGCCACCAAGGCACGTCCAGGAAGCCGTTCCGAGTTGTGAGCTCTGCTGTGCCATCATGGAAGGAGAGCCGCGGCATTGGAAGCATGTCAGCACCGGGCAGAGTTCTCAGCCACTCGCTTCCCTTGAGAAAATGCTGCTACCGGCCTTGAGCGAAAAAGGCTCGCCATGCAATGGCTGCAATGCCCGGCCCTCGCTGGGGCAAAGGAAATGTCAGTTGTATCCCTGCTGTTCTCAAGAAGCTCCATCGTGCCTGAAGTTCTATGACCACTCAGGCTCATGTACCTCCAGAAGTAACCTCTGAAACCTGAGAGTTGTTTTTCGTCATCACTGTGAGCAATAAGCCGACATAGTTTGGGGCTTGAATCGAACCACGAACTGAGATTTGAGGCTGCCTATAGGTATGGTTCAGGCGTAGCCTAGGATCCCAAATCCCAGAAGAAGTCTAGGCTTTAAGGTATTAGGATCCTCGGCTTCACCCCAAAAGCTCTACATACGCCCTTTGGACCCCAACTCTGCACCCTGAACCCTTTCCCCAAAGCTTATAGGCCTTCCTTTGAAGCCTACATGGACAGGTTCACTACTCAGGCTTCGGGGCTTGGGGCCTTCCCTCAGTCCAGGGTTTAGGGTGTAGAGTCTAGCTAAAAAAACACAGGGGGGCGGCTGACCTAAAATGCCGAACCGCCCATTGAAAACTTTAGCTAGGAGTTGCTATGACGAACGACTTCGATCGCCGATCGCCAAACATTTGCTCAACCCCTCAACCATACTTAACACCGCCACCCTCAGTTAAAGGCCGGAAAGAAGGACCACTCGACCAACAGGCCGGGCAGCAGCGTTTCTTGAGCGGAACCGCGCTGAACTGTCCCCAGCTGTCAGACATATTGAATTGCACCGCTATCACCGCTCAAAGCGGATGTGAGGTTGTAAAGCTCGGCTGCAGCATTTGCTTGTCTGTGTGATGCTGTGCCTGCGCGTTGCTGACCCTCAAGGGCCTGAACCCCGTCGCTATACATCTCTATAGAGCGCAGGGAGCGGAAAGGCAGGTCTCTAACCGGAAGCGCAACTTAAAAAGCAAGGCTGGATGTCAATGTGAGCTTTCAAAGAGACACCAGCCGCGAGGACCTCAACCACTCCTTGATGCAGACGGCCCCCTGTCAGGGAATTCTACATCGGCAAGGGGATGCCCTGTGTGACTTGAAAGTTGAGTTAACTTCATGTGGCATGGAAACCTGTACTGCCCAGGGTGCACAGGATTGCACATCATCGCGGCTACGTCTCGTCCTCTGCGCATCCCAGGCAGTATGAGTATCAGTATTGACTGAGGGTACTGTACAAAAAAGCTTGAAAGTTGAATTGTGCAGTGGCCTGCAATGGGCAAGGATTCATCAACATGGAAGAGAAACCCGCAAGTATGCCTCTACATGCCTAGACTAGTTTAGGTCGTAGATTCTTGGGGGTAGCCCTGGAAGGGGAGGTTGTGGGGACGCGATGAGCCTAGGGTCCTAAACCGCTCAGGAAGCGATTTAGCCGAACTGGGCCTCGCGCGAACCTAGCCCGAGATGCTGAATTGTCGTTCCCAAGTGGCTGGACTCCAGCTTGAAAAAAAGCGCACGAATCTTGAACCTCTACAGTCTCTGCATGTCTCTACAGCTTACCTAGACCCTGAAAGCACTATACAAGCAGGTGGAGTAACAGGCAAAGGCCTCCTTCTGCAGCTACGCTGAAACCATCTAAAACCCTTCGCCCTTACATCGAGTGAGTGCGAAACACTCCGCTAAAACCCCTAAACTCTCGGCCTCAGCCCGGAAGAAGCACGGAAGTCCAGTAGACCCTTATGCACGGACGTGACGGCTAGACTGCGTGTGCCACACACAGTTGCGACTCAAGTCGCAACTCCAGAAACTCTCAAATCCACTCAGGCAGCGCGTGATGGACTTGTATGTTGGACTATAAGGCCCGAGGCGTGCTAAGTGACACTGACTGAGGTCTCTTCGCCATGCAGCAACAGTGGGTCCCGCGCGTGACGGGCGCGCATGAGGAAATTCTCTCACCAGAGTTTAAAGTTGGTAGGGCTGCGAGGTTCACACGCTCGCCTGCTCTACTTGTAGAAGAAATGTAGCCTAAACAATACATACCCACAATGCATTGTTAACAGAATTCTAGCTGATCGTATTATTTGTCCAGGAAGGAGTATCGACGGTTACACGCCGGGAGCGGGTCGGGAGCCTCGTCTTTCAAGACTCCTCGGAAGCCCCTGACATCAGCGATCTGATAAGATCCGAAAGGGGCCCGCGGTGCCCACGTCACGGGCCGAAGACATGAAGGCTCACTTGGGTTTGACTCAAAAATTGCATCATCTGCTCTCGGCCTTGCAGCTCTGCGGGGGCCACCTGGGCAGAGGGGAAGAAGTAATCAGAAGTAATCGCATGATCATGGGATTTCGGAGGGTCGGGAACTCATACCAACAGAGCCAACACGGCCCGGCGCACTGCGCACCTCCACGCGCTTGGTGCTCCTGCGGCCAGGGAAGCGGTAGCCCGAAATGGCATCCTTGAAGCGTGCGGCGGTACCCAACTCGGTGAAGTTGAGAAACGCATAGCCCATGCCCTGCCTCAGTTGTCCAAGCTACTTGCTGGCAGCGGGTCATCTTCATTGAGGACTGCGGACGAAGTGATTAACGGAGTCCTCATGGCTGTTCAGTCAGCAAGAGCCTACCAAAAACCGTAGCTTGGGTCCTACATTGTAAAGGGCTGGTCCTACAGAGAAAGCCCAGTGCGAATCATCGAAGATGCTGGTGGCGCCGCTTCATTGGGAGGTAGAAGCAGTCGTACGTCCCGGCGAAACCTACGGAATCGACAGCATGGAGAATTTCGTCGGTTCTGCATCGGCATGGGATGTTCTTGATCATGACTGTGCGGACCGATGTGAGATCCTCCTTCTGGTGCTCCGAAACTGCCGCGTCTTGCGAGCCCGCCAGGCTCTGCAGATCCTCTGGGCAGCCTGTCGTCTGCCTTTCGAAGTCGACATCGGAGTCGCCGTACTCCGTGCTCACGGTGCGTTCGCTGGGCGTGTGGCAGATCAGCTTTCCATCGTCGCTGTCATCGCCAGTCGCCTCTTCGCATGCCACGCGCGGCGGAGCACTGTGGGCACGGCGCCGGGCCCCGTCCGCATCCTTGCTGCGGACGTCCACCTTTGCAGTTGCCCGCTAGCTCCAATGCTTGCAACTAGGCACGAAACCGAAACTTATGACCGAGGTCTTGAACAAGAAAAGGCACGTCCAGGAAGCTGTTCCGAGTTGTGAGCTCTGCTGTGCCATCATAGAAGGAGAGCCGCGGCATGGGAAGCATGTCACCGCCGGGCGGAGTTCTCAGCAACTCGCTTGAATAAATGCTGCTACCGGCCTTGAGCAAGAAAAGGCTCGCCATGCAAAAGCTGCAATGCCCGGCCCTCGCTGGGGCGAAGGAAATGTCAGTTGTATCCCTGCTGTTCTCAAGAAGCTCCATCGTGCCTTAGGTGTCGCCTTTCCAAAGACCTAGGTTGCTTGCCAGCTGCTGGAAATTTCGACCCGAGCGCCCAAATCAATAAGTGAAGTTCTATGACCACTCAGGCTCATGTACCTCCAGAACCTCTGTAACCTGAGAGTTGTTGATCGTCATCACTGTGAGCAATATGTCGACATGGTTTGGGGCTTGAATCGAACCACGAACTGAGATTTGAGGCTGCCTATAGGTATGGTTCAGGCGCAGCCTAGGATCCCAACTCCCATAAGAAGACTGGGCTTTAAGGTGTTAGGATCCTCGGCTTCACCCCAAAAGCTCTACATACACCCTTTGGACCCCAAACTCTGCACCCTAAACCGCCTCAACCCTAAACCCGTTAACACCGACACCCTCAGTTAAAGGCCGGAAAGAAGGATCACTCAACCAGGAGGCCAGTCACCGAGCGTTTCTTGAGCGGAACCGCGCTGAACTGTCCCCAGCTGTCAGAGATATTGAATTGCACCGCTATCACCGCTCAAAGCGGATGTGAGGTTGCTAAGACTCGGCTGCAGCATTTGCTTGTCTGCGTGACGCTATGCATGCCTGCGCTTTGCTGACCCTCAAGAGCCTGAAGCCCGTCGCTATACATCTCTATTGAAAGACTCCTTTGGTTAGTTAAGACTCAGCCTGGTCACAAGTTGAACCCGCGCCAAAAACAAGGGTCGGCCGCGCAGGGAGCGGAAAGGCAGGTCTCTAACCGGAAGCGCAACTTAAAAAGCAAGGCTGGATGTCAATGTGAGCTTTCAAAGAGACACCAGCCGCGAGGACCTCAACCACTCCTTGATGCAGACGGCCCCCTGTCAGGGAATTCTACATCGGAAAGGGGATGCCCTGTGTGACTTGAAAGTTGAGTTAACTTCATGTGGCATGGAAACCTGTACTGCCCAGGGTGCACAGGATTGCACATCATCGCGGCTACGTCTCGTCCTCTGCGCATCCCAGGCAGTATGAGTATCAGTATTGACTGAGAGTACTGTGCAAAAAAGCTTGAAAGTTGAATTGTGCAGTGGCCTGCAATGGGCAAGGATTCATCAACATGGAAGAGAAACCCGCAAGTTTGCCTATACATGCCTAGAATACTTTAGGTCGTAGATTCTTGGGGGTAGCCCTGGAAGGGGAGGTTGTGCGGACGCGATGAGCCTAGGGTCCTAAACCGCCTAGGAGGCGATTTAGCCGAACTGGGCCTCGCGCGAACCCAGCCCGAGATGCTGAATTGTCGTTCCCAAGTGGCTGGACTCCAGCTTGAAAAAAAGCGCTCGAATCTTGAACCTCTACAGTCTCTGCATGTCTCTACAGCTTACCTAGACCCTGAAAGCACTATACAAGCAGGTGGAGTAACGGGCAAAGGCCTCCTTCTGCAGCTACGCTGAAACCATCTAAAACCCTTCGCCTTTACATCGAGTGAGTGCGAAACACTCCGCTAAAACCCCTAAACGCTCGGCCTCAGCCCGGAAGAAGCTCGGAAGTCCAGTAGACCCTTATGCACGGACGTGACGGCTAGACTGCGTGTGCCACACATAGTTGCGACTCAAGTCGCAACTCCAGAAACTCTCAAATCCACTCAGGCAGCGCGTGATGGACTTGTATGTTGGACTATAAGGCCCGAGGCGTGCTAAGTGACACTGAGGTCTCTTCGCCATGCAGCAACAGTGGGTCCCGCGCGTGACGGGCGCGCATGAGGAAACTCTCTCACCAGAGTTTAAAGTTGGTAGGGCTGCGAGGATCACACGCTCGCGTGCTCTACTTGTAGAAGAAATGTAGCCTAAACAATACATACCCACAATGCATTGTTAACAGAATTCTAGCTGATCGTATTATTTGTCCAGGAAGGAGTATCGACGGTTGCATGCCGGGAGCGGGTCGGGAGCCTCGTCTTTCAAGACTCCTCGGAAGCCCCTGACATCAGCGATCTGATAAGATCCGAAAGGGGCCCGCGGTGCCCACGTCACGGGCCGAAGACATGAAGGCTCACTTGGGTTTGACTCAAAAATTGCATCATCTGCTCTCGGCCTTGCAGCTCTGCGGGGGCCACCTGGGCAGAGGGGAAGAAGCAATCAGAAGTAATCGCATGATCATGGGATTTCGGAGGGTCGGGAACTCATACCAACAGAGCCAACACGGCCCTGCGCACTGCGCACCTCCACGCGCTTGGTGCTCCTGCGGCCAGGGAAGCGGTAGCCCGAAATGGCATCCTTGAAGCGTGCGGCGGTACCCAACTCGGTGAAGTTGAGAAACGCGTAGCCCATGCCCTGCCTCAGTTGTCCAAGCTACTTGCTGGCAGCGGGTCATCTTCATTGAGGACTGCGGACGAAGTGACTAACCGAATCCTCGACCATAGCTGTTCAGTCAGCAAGAGCCTACCAAAAACCGTAGGTTGGGTCCTACATTGTAAAGGGCTGGTCCTACAGAGAAAGCCCAGTGCGAATCATCGAAGATGCTGGTGGCGCCGATTCATTGGGAGGTAGAAGCAGTCGTACGTCCCGGCGAAACCTACGGAATCGACAGCATGGAGAATTTCGTCGGTTCTGGATCGGCATGGGATGTTCTTGATCATGACTGTGCGGACCGATGTGAGATCCTCCTTCTGGTGCTCCGAAACTGCCGCGTCTTGCAAGCCCGCCAGGCTCTGCAGATCCTCTGGGCAGCCTGTCGTCTGCCTTTCGAAGTCGACATCGGAGTCGCCGTACTCCGTGCTCACGGTGCGTTCGCTGGGCGTGTGGCAGATCAGCTTTCCATCGTCGCTGTCATCGCCAGTCGCCTCTTCGCATGCCACGCGCGGCGGAGCACTGTGGGCACGGCGCCGGGCCCCGTCCGCATCCTTGCTGCGGACGTCCACCTTTGCAGTTGCCCGCTAGCTCCAATGCTTGCAACTAGGCACGAAACCGAAACTTATGACCGAGGTCTTGAACAAGAAAAGGCACGTCCAGGAAGCTGTTCCGAGTTGTGAGCTCTGCTGTGCCATCATAGAAGGAGAGCCGCGGCATGGGAAGCATGTCACCGCCGGGCGGAGTTCTCAGCAACTCGCTTGAACAAATGCTGCTACCGGCCTTGAGCAAGAAAAGGCTCGCCATGCAAAAGCTGCAATGCCCGGCCCTCGCTGGGGCGAAGGAAATGTCAGTTGTATCCCTGCTGTTCTCAAGAAGCTCCATCGTGCCTTAGGTGTCGCCTTTCCAAAGACCTAGGTTGATTGCCAGCTGCTGGAAATTTCGACCCGAGCGCCCAAATCAATAAGTGAAGTTCTATGACCACTCAGGCTCATGTACCTCCAGAACCTCTGTAACCTGAGAGTTGTTGATCGTCATCACTGTGAGCCATATGTCGACATGGTTTGGGGCTTGAATCGAACCACGAACTGAGATTTGAGGCTGCCTATACGTATGGTTCAGGCGCAGCCTAGGATCCCAACTCCCATAAGAAGACTAGGCTTTAAGGTGTTAGGATCCTCGGCTTCACCCCAAAAGCTCTGCATACACCCTTTGGACCCCAAACTCTGCACCCTAAACCGCCTCAACCCTAAACCCGTTAACACCGACACCCTCAGTTAAAGGCCGGAAAGAAGGATCACTCAACCAGGAGGCCAGTCACCGAGCGTTTCTTGAGCGGAACCGCGCTGAACTGTCCCCAGCTGTCAGAGATATTGAATTGCACCGCTATCACCGCTCAAAGCGGATGTGAGGTTGCTAAGACTCGGCTGCAGCATTTGCTTGTCTGCGTGACGCTATGCATGCCTGCGCGTTGCTGACCCTCAAGAGCCTGAAGCCCGTCGCTATACATCTCTGTAGAAAGACTCCTTTGGTTAGTTAAGACTCAGCCTGGTCACAAGTTGAACCCGCGCCAAAAACAAGGGTCGGCCGCGCAGGGAGCGGAAAGGCAGGTCTCTAGCCGGAAGCGCACCTTAAAAAGCAAGGCTGGATGTGAGTTGTCAAAGAGACACCAGCCGCGAGGACTTCAACCACTCCTTGATACAGACGGCCCCCTGTCAGGGAATTCTACATCGGAAAGGGGATGCCCTGTGTGACTTGAAAGTTGAGTTAACTTCATGTGGCATGGAAACCTGTACTGCCCAGGGTGCACAGGATTGCACATCATCGCGGCTACGTCTCGTCCTCTGCGCATCCCAGGCAGTATGAGTATCAGTATTGACTGAGAGTACTGTACAAAAAAGCTTGAAAGTTGTATTGTGCAGTGGCCTGCAATGGGCAAGGATTCGTCAACATGGAAGAGAAACCCGCAAGTATGCCTCTACATGCCTAGACTAGTTTAGGTCGTAGATTCTTGGGGGTAGCCCTGGAAGGGGAGGTTGTGGGGACGCGATGAGCCTAGGGTCCTAAACCGCTCAGGAAGCGATTTAGCCGAACTGGGCCTCGCGCGAACCCAGCCCGAGATGCTGAATTGTCGTTCCCAAGTGGCTGGACTCCAGCTTGAAAAAAAGCGCTCGAATCTTGAACCTCTACAGTCTCTGCATGTCTCTACAGCTTACCTAGACCCTGAAAGCACTATACAAGCAGGTGGAGTAACGGGCAAAGGCCTCCTTCTGCAGCTACGCTGAAACCATCTAAAACCCTTCGCCTTTACATCGAGTGAGTGCGAAACACTCCGCTAAAACCCCTAAACTCTCAGCCTCAGCCCGGAAGAAGCACGGAAGTCCAGCAGACCGTCATGCACGGACATGACGGCTAGACTGCGTGTGCCACACATAGTTGCGACTCAAGTCGCAACTCCAGAAACTCTCAAATCCACTCAGGCAGCGCGTGATGGACTTGTATGTTGAACTCAGGCCCGAGGCGTGCTAAGTGACTGAGGTCTCTTCGCCATGCAGCAAGAATGAAGAATGGGTCCAGCGCGTGACGGGCGCGCATGAGGAAATTCTCTCTCACCAGAGTTTAAAGTTGGTAGGGCTGCGGACTCACACACTCGCGTGCTCTACGTGTAGACTAAGAAACAAACATAGCCTAAACAAAACATACCTACAATGCATTGTTGACAGCATTCTAGCTGATCGTATTGTTTACATTTTGTCCAGGAAGGAGTATTGACTGCTACACGCCGGGGGCGGGTCGGGAGCCTCGTCTTTCAAGACTCCTCGGAAGCCCCTGACATCAGCGATCTGATAAGATCCGAAAGGGGCCCGGTGCCCACGTCACGGGCCGAAGACATGAAGGCTCACTTGGGTTTGACTCAAAAAGTGCATCATCTGCTCTCGGCCTTGCAGTTCTGCGGGGGCCACCTGGGCAGAGGGGAAGAAGTAATCAGAAGTAATCGCATGATCATGGGATTTCGGAGGGTCGGGAACTCATACCAACAGAGCCAACACGGCCCGGCGCACTGCGCACCTCCACGCGCTTGGTGCTCCTGCGGCCAGGGAAGCGGTAGCCCGAAATGGCATCCTTGAAGCGCGCGGCGGTACCCAACTCGGTGAAGTTGAGAAACGCGTAGCCCATGCCCTGCCTCAGTTGAGCTACTTGCTGGCAGCGGGCCATCTTCATTGCGGACGAAGTGACTAACCGAATCCTCGACCATAGCTGTTCAGTCAGCAAGAGCCTACCACAAAGCGTAGGTTGGGGGATTTTAACAAGGTGAAGGGCTGGTCCTAAAGCTTGTGTGCGAATCATCGAAGATGCTGGTGGCGCCGATTCATTGGGAGGTAGAAGCAGTCGTACGTCCCGGCGAAACCTACGGAATCGACTGCATGGAGAATTTCGTCGGTTCTGCATCGGCATGGGATGTTCTTGATCATGACTGTGCGGACCGATGTGAGATCCTCCTTCTGGTGCTCCGAAACTGCCGCGTCTTGCAAGCCCGCCAGGCTCAGCAGATCCTCTTGGCAGCCTGTCGTCTGCCTTTCGAAGTCGACATCGGAGTCGCCGTACTCCGTGCTCACAGTGCGTTCGCTGGGCGTGTGGCAGATCAGCTTTCCATCGTCGCTGTCATCGCCAGTCGCCTCTTCGCATGCCACGCGCGGCGGAGCACTGTGGGCACGGCGCCGGGCCCCGTCCGCATCCTTGCTGCGGACGTCCACCTTTGCAGTTGCCCGCTAGCTCCAATCCTTGCAAACCGAAACTTATGACCGAGGTCTCTGAACAACCAAGGCACGTCCAGGAAGCCGTTCCGAGTTGTGAGCTCCGCTGTGCCATCATAGAAGGAGAGCCGCGGCATGGGAAGCATGTCAGCACCGGGCGGAGTTCTCGCTTCCCTTGAGTAAATGCTGCGACCGGCCTTGAGCAAAAAAAGGCTCGCGATGCAAAAGCTGCAATGCCCGGCCCTCGCTGGGGCAGAGGAAATGTCAGTTGCATCCCGGCTGTTCTCAAGAAGCTCCCTGGACTTTCGACCCGAGCACCCAAATGGCTCATGTACCTCCAGAAGTAACCTCTGCAATCAGGGTTGTTGGTCGTCATCATTGTGCAAGAAGTCGGCATGGTGGTATGCAGACATGGGGAAAGCCGCTGGCAAGCTGCAAAGACTTCCAGACGATGCCTCTTAGTTTCCCTCCCCCACCCCACTCCCATTGCTTGAGTCCTCCTCGGGACGGGCACGAAGATACGCTGACGGGGCCTTGGCGGGCTTATCACGCTCTAAGCCTGCAAGATGCGCAGAGATTCGCCCAGGGCAGATTAAATAACCATCTCGCGAAACAATCACCATATTCTTCCTGCGGGATCCGAATCGGTTAACCCCTCTAGCCTATAGCTTGCAGCCGCACGCTGCAATCGAGCTTCACTCTTGACTGACATGGCATACGTAGAGTACATGGATTGCCCGACGTTTCCTCAGGGCTCCCACACCCCACTGTTGTCGAGAAGCACGTCCTTTCCACCCCCCTGTTGTTGAGCAGCACGTGGAACACGCCATTATCAAGCCCCCCAGCCCACCCCACCACACCTCGATGTTGTTGAGCAGCACGAATTATCAAGCCCCCCCCCCCCACCCCACACCCCACTGTTGTCCGCTATTATCAAACTCCCCCCCCCCCCACCCCACCACACCTCGCTGTTGTTGAGCAGTACGTGGAACACGCTATTATCAAGCCCCCCCCCGCCCACCCCAGCACACCCCGGTGTTGTCCCCAGCACACCCCGGTGTTGTCGGGGAGCAGGTCCTTTCCACCCCTGTTGCTGAGCAGCACCCCCCACTCACTTGTAACTGTTTCCCAAAATCAAGACTCACTTGTGACTACAAGATAGTCACAAGTGAGCCACCCCCCAAAAAATGGACGCAAGTGAGTTTTTGACCCCTCTCGAGCGGGAGTTGCGTTTTTTAGAATTTATAATCGTAAGTGAGCTTACAAAAATCAAGAAGTGAGAAGGTTTTATAGTCACAAGTGAGAAAAACCAGTCACAGGTGAGCAGATTTTATGGTCACAAGGAGGGGGGGGGGGGGGGCGGGGGGGCGGGGGGGAGAGGGGGAGAGGGGGGGTGGGGTGGGGGAGAGGGGGGGGGGAGAGGGGGGGGGGGGGGGGTGGGGGGAGGAGGGGGGGGGGGGGAGAGGGGGAGGAGAGGGGGGAGAGGGGGGGGAGAGGGGGGGGAAGAGGGGGGGGGGGAGGGAGAGGGGGGGGGGCGGGGGGGGGGGTGAGAGGGAGGGGGGGGGGGGGGGACGGGGGGGGGAGAGGGGGGGCGAGAGGGAAGAGGAGGGGGGGGGAGGGGGGGGGGGGAAGAGAGGGGGGGGAGAGAGGGGGGGGAAGGAAGGGAAATGGCCTCAGGAATTGGTTGCCAGGTGCCCTGCAGGTTCAATTCTGACACAGCATCAGTTTTTGCAGCCCAAAACAAACAACCCCTGAACCCTAAACCCTGGGAGTGGGGTCTGCTGGTACAAGACCAAGGAACGGCTGGATCGCCCGTGCCGATGGTGAGGGGACCCAGCCTTGATCAAAGGATCTTAGGGTTTGGGTTTTAGGGTTGGGGTTATAGGGTTAGGGTTTTTGTGTGCCTTCTTGGCGTTCAGGGCTGTGGCTTTTTTACGGGGGGGTTTAGGGGGCGTTGAGGGGTGG